ACTAATTTTCTATTTAGTGGATGATGTAATAGAAGAACATACATTTTTATAATCAAATCACCAAATTGCAACTTTTTTGGTCCAAAAGGCAAATAAATAAATTATATAATGCAATAAAGACCAATTATAATAATTAATTAATAATCAAAAAGCACTTGTTAACCACAAGTTAATATGAATGAGAAGAAGTTAAGATATAAAAGAGGGTGTGGACAAATCAAGAAGAAAACTTTATACTACAAATGCAATATGAATAAATATATATTTATTAATTAATTAATTAATTAATTAATTTAATCTTGAAATGAACTTGAGCTATGAACCTTTCCTTTCATATAACTTTCTTCTCCTCAGTCAAAAGGACATAAAAGTGTATGTACAGTGACCTGCCCTCATTGATTGGGAGATTTATATTATGATATAGTAAAAGAAATTATTTAATTAATTATATATTTCCGCCATAGCTCTTCTAAGACATGGGACCTTAAGGTCTTCATATATTTATAAGATCATTGAGCAGGTCCATCTTTATCATCATTCGAAAAAAGAAAAGAAAAAGAAGATACTTCTGGAATTAATTGCGAAAATTAAGAACATATAATGATTTGGATATAGTAAGTTAACTTATTATTTTTTTCCTTAATTTTAATACCAATTTAAAATATAAGATAATTATTTTAGGGGTGTTAATTGTAAAATTGAAATTTTAAGTGGTGTATTAATTAAATAAAATAATTTGAGAAATTATTTATAGTGATATAAGGGCAGAGGTGAGCCAAAAGATGTTGATGAATGGAATTATAGATAGGGCCAAGCATCGAAATGACACAGTGATAGAAGATTCGAGATCTTACTTTAGGGTTGTCTTGGCTTAGGTCCCTCCCTGAAAGGTGTTCTTCACGTTCTGACCAAGTTGGTAATTTCAAATAAATATTTAACAATATTAGAGTCATTTTAAGGAAATGTGGTAGTATAAGAAGGATATTTTGAAGTGGGTTTCTCTCATATCACAGAAGACGAATTTTTATGCTGATCAGTTAACCTATCTTACTGAAAATAATGCGTTTAAGAATGTGTATACGAAATGAAATTCTTTCGAATTAAAAAAAAATTGACTTGGAGTAGCTTACTTTTTTTTTTTGTGTTGCGTAACATAACGTTTGAATTAGTTTTTAGAGGTTAAATTAGCGTTTTCTAAAAGATTAATTCTTATAACGTTTAACTTTTAGCGTTTTATGAAAAACTACTCAAATAATTATTAGCTACTCCGCGGTGTTCGACAACAACTTTTTATGTAGTTTTAGCATTTTGAAACACTACTTTTTATAATGTTTTATAACATAGTGTGAGTTTGAATTAGCTTTTAGAAGTTAAAGTAGCGTTTTGTGAAAAATAAACTCATGTAACGTTTAGCTTTTATCGTTTTATGAAAAATTACTCAAACAGTTAACTAAACACTACTAAAACAACTATCAGCTATTAAAATAACTAATTTTATCGAACAGACCTAAACAATTAAACGATACTAAAACAGTTTTAATTTTGTCGAATAGATATTCTATATATAGATAGATAGAGAGGTTTGGATGGTCTTTATTTTTGTAATAAAAGAAATGTGTGGTGGTATATTTGAAGAGAGAGATGAATGATATTATAGTTTGAAAAGAAATGTAAGATAATTGGTAGCTAGTTATGGTTTCCTGAAAGAGGCATATAGAAATGAGGAAGAATCTAATAAACACAATACATGATTGAGCACATGTGGGAGAACGTGAGGACTGAAACAAGAAGAGCATAGATTGGAATCTCAGACTCAGAGAGCGAAAAAGAGAAAGAAAGAAAGAAAGAAAGAAAGAAAGAGAGAGAGAGAGAGATAGTAATAACAGTAATGACATCTCAAAAGCGAAAGCTGCCATCGAAACAGAGTTAACATACTCACGCCTATACTATTACTATTTACATGTGCCAATCAATACTAAAAAAAAAAAAAAAGAAAAAAGAATACATTGTAAAAATAAATTATAAGAACAAATTACATATCCTATTTGTCATATAATACACGAGTGGAAATATATTCGTGAAAAGAAAAATAAATCGTAACAACTAGTGATGACACATTTATATATGAGGTTTTCTTGATGGGATTGTATTGTTTTCTCATGTGTTTATGTAATATTTTCAGGCTGACCGTGGGTGTATTGGAAAAGTTTTTATTAATTTAAAAATTAAATATATAAATATATAACAAAATCATTACCTAATAAATAGTTAATCTCATAATTTATATTTAGAGATTTAAATAAATAAACAATTATCCATAATAAGTCAAGAACATAAAATAAAGAATCTCTAATTTTTTTTTTTTTACTTCAACACTAAATAAATTATAGAAATAATGTACCAATATTTTTAGCCTTGTAAATCAGTTCTTGAGTTGAGTCTTAAATCAAAGTTATCAAGTAGCTTTTGAATTTGATAATATTTGCAATAAATAATAATTTAGTTTTTTCTTCTTTTATATGTCTTGTAATTTTTAATTTGAAGGATAAATAATTATATAATGTACATTTAAGATCCCAATTTCAAATTTTAGTTCATAAATTTTATTTGATAACTTTATGAAAATTTATAAAGTGTCCAAGAAGTATCCTGGCTGTTCTTATATCTGAAATTAGAAAATAAAAGAAATATTTAGACATTTTTTTAAGAGTATTCAACTGTGTCCAGGAAGTGTCAGTGTTTGATATGTATACATTCGATTTTATGAGGTGTCCATATATACTTTCTAGAGTGATACACTATTTATAATCAAATGCAACAAAAAAAAAAAAAAAGTTTCAATAAAACATCTCATTTATCAAGAGTTTCCTTCGTGGAAAAAATACTTATGAAAAGATAGTGAACAACTTAAAATTAGATTAGTTTTATAGGGATGAGATTGCTAATTGAAAATCCAAAAATATATATATATATATATATATCTTATTGATAAAAACATTTTCAGAAGCTATTGTATGATTAAAAAAATATTTTATATAATAGTAAATACGATCTTATTAGTATAATTAATATCCGAAGGGTGGTTTTGATAAAAAAAAAAACATTATCCCATTTGCTTGGATTTCTGAACTCTTCTTCTTCTTCTTCTTTCTCTTATAAATCTTTAGATGCCCATTTTCTTTGTTTTTGTTCTTTCAATCTATCAAACCAAATTTGGGATCACTATCTTATCAACTGACTATGTTTTGTATGTTACCTTACAAACCAACCGACCAAAAAAGCCATATCCTCAGTCACTGTTTCACTCTCTCACATATAAAGGGAGAGAGAGAGATAGAGGATTTTGCTTTTTTGACAGTTTAGGGATAGCTTTATTCCTTGTTGGTAAAACAGTTCTTGGTTACTGAAAAAGCAGATCCAAACACCCAGATTCCATTCTCTTATAAAGTATTAACCCAAAAAGATTAACACTATAATGACATCATATAATCTTAATTAATAAAAAGAATTTTTCTTTAGAAATAAAGTTTTAGATAATTGTTTTCTATTCATGATTTAGTTTAGGTTTTCTTTCTCTTTTTTCTGTTCTTTTTGTGCATTCTTGTGTGTAGAACTTTCGAACATGTGTAGAAGCAAAGACATAGTCTTACGTTATATCTTGCAAAACAAAATTCGAGAATCACATACTATTACTAGGAGTTTCTTTGCATGGATTTGAGTGGAATTTTGGACTTACTTTAGCTTCTTCTCCATGCATATATATTTAGTTTAGGTTTTCTTTCTCTTTTTTCTGTTCTTTTTGTGCATTCTTGTGTGTAGAACTTTCGAACATGTGTAGAAGCAAAGACATAGTCTTACGTTATATCTTGCAAAACAAAATTCGAGAATCACATACTATTACTAGGAGTTTCTTTGCATGGATTTGAGTGGAATTTTGGACTTACTTTAGCTTCTTCTCCATGCATATATACTACGTTATATCTTGCAAAACAAAATTCGAGAATCACATACTATTACTAGGAAGTTTCTTTGCATGGATTTGAGTGGAATTTGGACTTACTTTAGCTTCTCTCATCATATGATATATATATATATAATAATATATATAACACACACACACACACACACCACACACTCTGTGTCGAGAATTTGAAACTGGCATATAATACAATATAGTACTTCTGAATGTGGTCAGTCTCCTATAATGTATAATCATTAAATTTTAGTCCCCAACCAAAAACAAACAAATAGGACTTCCATATGCTTCCAAAAGCCGGTTTTTAACTCTCTTTTTCCATCCTCTTGTCTCAAAGAAGAGCACAAAACATAGGATGTGTTCAACGGTTTTTTTTTGTTTTCTTTTTTCCATTTGCTTTTCTTGATTTCTTGAATGGGTGGAAAAAGAAGAAACTATACGTGCCCCCATGTAAAAATTTCCTATTTTTTTTTTTTTTTTTTTCCATTTGCTTTTCTTGATTTCTTGAATGGGTGGAAAAAGAAGAACTAACCCACATGTAAAAATTCCTAAAGACATGAAACCAAGAAACATATATGGGAATTTGAAATCTTCCTCAGTCCATGATTGAAAGAGTGGGAATGACTTTGTTCAAGTTTGATGGTGATGATGATATAATTACCAAAAATTATCTCAAAATTAAGTAATTATCTCATCATCACCATAAAGATCAAATTTATACAGAGACAACAGTACAAAACACACAAAACGAAAAGAAAAAGAAAAGGAATTAACTTGCTTTCTAGCATATACATAGTGCTAATCTTTCTTAATTAGGGTTCCACCATATTGCGTGAGCTAGTAATTTAATTCCCTTTCTTAAATTAATTTTAATGATCTATAGTTGAATTAATTTATATGAGTTTAGATTAATGCAGACATCTATAGCACAGCATATAATTCTCCTTAAATGATTGGCTATGAGAGGATGATTTGATTAATTAGTACTAATTGATTGCAAACAAGAAGCTAGAAGTTTGTAAAGAAAGAAAATTTCCCATCTCTCTAGGAAAATCACTTAATTAGTACAGTGCATTAATTTGATCAATATATATATATGAAACAATATATATAGAACTCTAATACTTCTGTGAACATACCCATGGAAAATACAGGAGAATGAAACCAAAAAATAACAAGCAAATAAAATTTCAAGACTAGATGTGCCTACCATTTCTCTAATTTCGATGATCCTTTAGTAGATCTTGGAGAAAGAACAAGAGAGACAAGTTCTTGATCGAATCGATTCTTCTCGTACATGGATCATCATCTTCTCGATCAGGTTTTGAAGAATTTGCATGGTTAATTAGGTCTTCTTTGATGAGTGATGATTTTTGTTTTAGTAGAAACCCTGTAATAATTCTAATTCAGTGAAACAGAAAACACTAAAAATTAATTTGGTGGGAATTAAAAGTTTGGAAAATCATCTTCTTCTTCACAAGAGATGGCTTGTAGAAGAGGAAGTGAAACCAGAAAGATCAGTCCATGCATTATTTCCACTCCAATACTGATGATCATTTCCTGAAATACCCAAAAAGTTCTTCGATAAATTCATTTCTTCCATTTTAACCGCGGCGAGATCATTAACGCCACTCTCTAATGGCTTCGACCGCCCTTGACCAGCATAATTAATACCTTCATTCTCAAATTGGTACAACCCATTTGATGCTCCTAAATTTGCCATAAAAGGAAATTGCTGCACTTGTTGTAATCTCCATTGATCAACAATTCCATTGGATAAAAAAGACCCACAACCACCACCAACACCACCGCCACTGCCACCACCGGCACCACTAGCTGAGCTAGTACTACCAAGCTGATGAAATTCCATTCCACCACCGGCTGTTGCAGCCACCGGAGGTTGAATTCCGCCAAAATTTAACCCGATATCTGTGGAATTATAGTTGTTTAGATGATGTAAAGGCGGCAAGATTGGCAAATGTGGTGGCGGAGCGATGATATGCCCTGTAATATTATCTGTAGTGCAAGTATTAGTAATAAGTCCATTACTTGAGGCAGAACCTGCTTTCGTTGGAGATTTTGATCTATTATTATTGTTATTTCCTTTACTTCTTTTGTTTCTTCTACATCCGCCTCCAACTGGTACGTTTCTTAGTGCACCTCCTCTTGTCCAGTAACGCCTGCAAGTCTTGCAAAAATGGCGAGGCTGAGAAAGACTATAATTATTGAAGTAACAAAATTTTGTATTTGTTGATTCACATCTTGGACATTTAAGTGCTGCTTCTGGTTGTGGAATCTTTGCTAGTCTTGCTCTTTCTGACATGGACCCTGGCCTGATTGAAGCCGCGCTTCCACTAACGCCGCCGCCGCCACACCCAGGTGGCGGAGCCGGTAGTGGAAGCTGATGGCTTTCACTGCTAACTGCTGACTGCTGATTATGCTGCAAAAATTGCACAAAAAAAAAAGGAAAAAAAAATTAATAATGATCAAATACACAGTATATTCAAGAGAAGATATAATAAAAGGAGGATTTATAGGAATATTATTTATCTTTTTCTTGGCTTTTTTAGGGAGGAAGCTATACGTTGCAAGAAGAAAGAAAATAGAGAGAAAAATAAAAGAAACGAAAGGAAAAAGGAAAAAAAGAAAAGAAAATTAACCTGCTGCCAGTTGGGTGGATCTAGATAGACTGGAATGGATGAGAAGACCATGGTGGTTAAGCTTTAATCCTCTCTTTTCTTTTGTAAAGGTTGATGGGTTTTTTCTTTTCTTCTTTTTAATTTTATTTGCTTTGAGAGATATGGTGGAGAATCACATCAAGAAGAAAGAGTTGCAGAGAAAGAAAGAGGTGGGAGATGGAAAGATAAAGGAGAGTCTGTGTAAGTGTATGTGTTTGTTCATTTTATCTTGTTCTTTGGTCTCTCTCTATCTCTTTTTGTTTTATTAAATTTTAGGGTTTGAAAGGAATGAAATGAAACCATTTTTTATTTTTATCAAGTTTTTCTTAACATTGAAGCTTCTTTTTATACTACTGTTTTACTGTGCCTATCAAAAGAGTGATTAGTGGCCATGCATGTATAGAGAGAGAAATAACCCTAAGTTATCATTTAATATAATTAGTTAATCAAAATGATAATTAAAAAGAAAAATAAAAAGTGGGTCTTGGTGGGGTAAGTCATGGGTGGGAGTGTCACTATCGAATGTACCTTTGTTTCTTGGGCCTGTCTCCTGGAGGATTTTTGTATTTTTTTTTTTTTGTTTGCATGGAAATTAAATATATATTACTTAATTCTATATATAAGGTGGGGTAAGTCAATGGGTGGGAGTGTCACAATCGAATGTACCTTTGTTACTTGGCCTGTCTCCATGGAGGATTTTTATGTATTTTTTTTTTTTTTGTTTTGCATGGAAATAAAATATATAATACTAATTCTATAATATATTATATAATAATATAATATACAATATATATAAAATATGATATGGGGTTATTCTTTTACGTAGATTATTGAAATGAAAAAGCTTTATATGCCCTTTTTGAGGCTCTTCACAGTGCAGATTCATCACCTACCGTGTACAATATATATATAAAGATTGTACTCATCCAAATCCTAATAGTGTTTATGTATGGAATAATGTCTGAAAAGAAATGGATTATTATGGTTAGAAAATTCAAGTTACTATATATTTTAAGGATGATATATTCTCCCAAAATATTCTTTTGACATACGATCTAAGATAGACATTTTTTGCATAAACATGTGTGACTAATTATTTTATTTATTATTCAAATGTTGCGTTAAATAAGGTATGAAGGTGTAACCAACAAAGTTAATCTAATAGGGAAGAAGGGAAATTAGGGTTTGATATGGTACGGAATACTCGAGGGATATAAATCAACTTACTACTTGTTGAGGCAGGAAGATGTACTAAAAAGAAATGTAGGTAATTGATGCAATTTGAGAATTAAGTGATAAAAGAAGATGGTGAGAATGATACTAGGAGTGAGCCAGCATTACTCCACGAATCATTTTGATTGGATTTAGATAGTTATTTTAAAAATTAGATTACCGATTAATTTATACATAAAAAACTGTTTGATTTTTTATTTTGGTATAATACCACATATAATTAATCGGATTTATTCTTAAATTCAGAATTCAAAAATATTAATTTAGTTTAAAATAACTGAATTTAAATCAAACCAAATGGGTTAGTGTTGAGTTTAAATGAATTCGTGTCATAAATAAGTCACCCATTTATGACACGAATATAAACGCGTTCTTTCGCGAGTTAACACGCTGGTTAAGCGAGTGACCCGTTTATTTTAGAGTAAAGAGGTAATTTTAGTGTTAAATATAAATCCTCCAACTAAAACTTATTTAAATTTTATTGTTGTATTACTTTTTTTATTTTAATTATGAATCTTGAAGAAATTATGCACTTTACGTGTAAAAATTTATTTTTAAATATGATTGGAGTTAAATAGGTTAAAAGTTAAAAATACTATAAGCAAGTTAAGTGAGTCGTATATAGGTCAAGTTGTATATGGATCGTATGACCCACTTAACCTGTTTGTGATATTAAATGGATTAAATGTGTCGTGTTCGTGTCAACCGTCTAATTTTCGTATTGTGTTTTTGTCGAAGTTACAAAAAATTGTTTCATCCTTTAATATTGCTCTGCGCATCGTGCGGATTCTAACACTAGTTATTTATAAACGAAATTAGCCCAATTGACATATTTGCTCTATAACCGTTATGAGTTTAGCGAAAGATTTATCTATTCTCGGTGTATAGAAAACCAAACAAAAATATTTTTGTTTGTAACAAGAATGTTTCTAACTAGTCACTGAGGAGAAAATGATAAAAACAGTAAAAATATTTTAAAAAACCCTTCATGGATTGATTTAGTATATGAGACTACTATGTATACCATATGTAGGCAAGTTTTATCTACGAGCTTAATGTCTATGGCCTCGTTTGGTTCAAATTCACCTACTTCCTGGAAAGTTCACTTCCCAGGAAGTGAAGTTAAGGAAGTTATTTCCTGGGAAGTACAGTGTGAATATTGTTTGGTTGATATATTGAATTTCTAGAAAATAAAACTATGTTAATTAAATTTTACATGTGAAATGACGATAATACTCCTATTATGAATTTAAGTATAATAATTGAAATAATTCATTGAAAAAAAAAACTAATTTAAGTATAATAATTAAAATAATTCATTGAAAAAAAAACTATGAAGCACATTTTATATATATTTGACATCATTTGACTTACTTTATAATTCATATATAATTCTTTTTACATAATAATCAATAAAAATATTATCGTAATTAGAAAAATGTTGTGTTTGTGGAATATTTTAGTAAATTAATTAATGAAGTTAATTTCTGAGTGCTGTTAAGAGGTCAAATTGATTTGAGTTGTTGCAAAAAGTAATCTTAAGCCAAAAATACCAAATTTCCATAAGCTTTTAATTATTGCAACAGTAGCACTAAATAGGGGCAAAATGGAGATTGTCAAAATTTTAAAAGTCATGAAGTGCATTACCTTGGGTTGAGGAGGAAAAGTAATTTCGTGTACTTTCGGGAACCAAAGACTAAATTCATTATTTCCCGGAGTTCACTTAGCCCCAACCAAACAAGGGCTTCATGTTTTATTAAAAAATGAACCTTGATGAAAATTTGATGTACAAGTTAGTCATTTATGTACTCATATTTATTTAATTAATATATTAAATTGAATAACTTACCGAAAAAAACCACTTTTCAACATATTTAACTAGATTTAAATTACATCAAAAAATAAGGCTTTCATTTTTTCTCTCTTCTCTCTAGTCTTCTAACCCTACTTTTAGTTTAGGGCTGTCGTTATTTATAGACAGCGGCTCCTACCTCTTATTTTTTACTCTCTTTTCGCTTTCTTTTGCTTTAATAAACTCAAATATATTTTTCCTATAATAAATTTGTCTTTTTTATTTTTATTTTTGTTATTGTTGATTTGTCTCCATATTTTGAGTCTTTTTATCCATTCTTTGTGAGGATAGTCCCTTCTTTGTGAATGTTTATTACTAAATAAAATTATAATATTTGATTTTATTTAATTAAAGACTTTAGATCTTGATTTGTAGATATGGATCTTCGATCAATGAAGTCTGGTAGTGCGGTCTGTCCCTTCTATATTCCTCATATGTTGCAAATTCTTGAAAAAAACAATCCAGTTATAGAAAATCTAGAAGAGTTATTATTTTAATATTCAAATCAATTAACGGACTATGTATTGCTATAAAGTTTATATCTTTTATCAAGATCAACTCCAAGCGGAAAGATTTAATATTATCTTTTTTTTAATTTTATTTTCATTATTAAAAAAAATATGAATTCTTTTACTTTGTTAAGAGATCAACGAACTTTATTAATTACTAACGGTAAAGTTTATATCTGATTATATAATTATTTACAATTCTTGATATTATTATTAATGAATTACATTTTTTTAAAGAAAGATGTTAATTACATTAAATTTAGTTTGAAATTTTTAATTAAAAAAATTTATATCACAATATTACTAGGAGTAAGTCCCAATTTATTATAAAGAAAATAATTTGAATTTAAAAAAATGTGCTTTGGTATTGTAGAGTGCATCACATTTTTCGATAGAATAGATTAAATATGACGGCAAAAGACATTTAATTTTTTAATCATTAAAATTATTATTTTAAAATAATGCAAATTTTCAGAAATTTGTAAAGCAAGTTAAATAAATTGGAGCTCAAAGAAAGTTTCAACTTTCTCTATATATACTTTGGCTTGGCTTTAAAAAAAATATTAAGGAGAAAGTTTCAATTTTTCTTTAGTATTTAAAGGGTTTTAATAATAAATATTGAAATTAATTTGATCATTTCATACCAATGAGTTTTGAGTTATAATAATATTAATGAATTTTAATTTTTTTTAGAACAAACAAGTATTTATCATCAATAGTGTATAAGTGTAAACGATAAGAACAATTGAAGCCTAATTAATCAACAAAAATAATATGCTCCTTATTAGTCGCTAATTAGAACGACAAATTATTGAACTAATTAATTATTAATTTGACAAAATGAGTGTGTGTTAGCCAATCACTTTCACTAATTAGCAAATTCAAAACCAAATTGTGATTTCATGTACCTTCAACTAGCCTTTTCTTTTCTCTTATACCCAATAGCTTCAACTTCAAATCATCCTTTGTGAAAATATCAAAGATGAAAAATTAAAAAATAAAGTAAAACGGATAGCAATTTAGCAATACCCCAAAAAAACTTGCAGAAAATACCTTTAAAAAAAAAGGAAAAAATCTATTAAATTATAAATTACTTGGTTATTAATATAAAACTATAAAATTGAAAATTATTATTTTTATATTTTGTTCAATAGACAATTTTAAATAAATAGAAACCTGAATGAAGATAGCTCAGTGGTAAAGAATACTTGCGGAATTGATCACCATGACTTAAGTCATGTTTACTGTAGATAGTTAAATTGGTCACAGGCCTTGATATATCTCGTGCAAGTATAAAAAAAAAAAAAAATAAAACTTTGAATAAGTATATATACATTCATACTTATAAGTAAAAATATGGATTGATATGTTTATAAATGACTAAGTATAAATCTAAATGAATTAAATTTTATGCAATTATTTTAAACTTGACTAATTTATTAAATAAAATTTTGAAAAACAAATATTGTCAAATTAACCAAAAGCAAAACAAAATTTTTACTTACTTTTTTTTTTTTTAAGAGAAGTTTTTACTTTCAATTAGGTTATTCTTATTGACTTATTGATATTCAAAGTCTAAGTTTAATTAACCAAAAGGAATCATATAACGTAACAATTTAGGAACCTTTCGCTGTTAAGGCTAAGAAAATTATTATAGGAAGGTTCCTGGTGGGGGTAGACTGGTGGTGGTGGCCA